AATATCTAGGCAGCAGCGTCCTGTGGGCAGCGTCCTGTGACCACTGATGAAGGACTAGAGGATGAGCAACACAAACTGTGCAGCAGCAGATGACCTTCTGTCTCTGACTTTACATGGACCAACATGGTAGGAGTGTCTAATAGAGTGGAGAGTGAGTGGACACAGTGTTTGAAAACTCTGTGTCTTATCCGCTCATACTAGCGCAACATACACCAATACACCACCACCAGTCAGTGTTACTCCAGTGCTGAGAATGATCCACCACCCACATAATACCTGCTTTGTGGTGGTCCTGTGGGGGTCCTGACCATTGAAGAACAGGGTAAAAGGGGGCAACAAAGTGTGTAAAAACAGACGGACTACAGTCTGTAATTTTAAAACTACAAAGTGCTACAAAACTAAAAAGCTATAAAGTATATGTGTATGTATGTCTGTGTACATACATAATATATAGTGCCTGGTCTCTGATTGCCACTGGGATTTCGAAACTGGCTTGTGTTCACATAACACCGTGGAAAATGCCAGGAAACACACCCACTAAGCCAGATGATTAACTGATTAATTGAATCAGGTGTGTTTAAGTAGGGAAATCAGCAAATCACCCCTGATGCATGTATGAAAGATGCAATAAGAGAGTTCCGGGACAGATCCAGAGCTCTCGGACCTGCAAACAACCCAATCGGGTCAGAAGATGGTAATGGTCCTCTATTGAGAGGGCAGATAATATGGAGAGAGAGTCCATATTAAACACATTACAATCTGCAGCAAAATCCCCAGTGGTGAATAACACTTACAGGGTTCATTTGTGTCCAGATGGACTTAAACAAACAGTGTATGAGTTAATTGAGCTTTGGGGAGTTTGCTGTGTAGGAGAGTCAGTGGGAAACTAGTTGTAAAATACCATAGCCAGTGAACTGAACGTACATTATTATGGTCACTTGTGTGCCGGCCATTTGAGGGGGCAGAAGCTTATGTGGAAGAAAGGGCAACATGAACATGAATTAATTCAATTTAGTTTACAGTACATTACAATCACTCTTATCCAGAGAGTGTAATCCCCTTCTAGAATCCCCTTCTTGCTGGCCACCAGCAAAACCAGCGTATGGAATTCATGCTGATGTGTTGTTTTTTCAGCAGGGTACTGTTTGACCTGTAGTGTAAAAAAAATCCCCAAAGACTCCAAAAACATCAGTGTTTCTATCTGGATGATTCCACCAAGTTGGATCAAAGTCAGTGTTCAAAACACAGTTTGTACTTTTAACTGACTTGGGCTTTGTTTCAGTAGTGACTATTTTAGCTAATTTTACGCAGAACTCAAAAACGCTAGCCAGTACATGACTAGCAAATACAGCTTTCAACAGCTGCACACATGAAATCATTATAGTTTCAATTGAAACACAAAAAGTTTACTTGATTGCAGGAAATATGTAATCGGATTTCTGCTTTGCAACCAGCCAATAAACTCACAGAAGAAAACGTGATGTAAACGTAATGTAAAACGTTTAAACATTGCGCCACTTTACCTGAAAATATGAACACACATCATCCAGAAGATGAAAAAAATATTTAAATCCTTCATTCATCAAGCAATGTAGTTAGTTCCAGCATTGCTCCAAAAGTGTTTTGCTGTCATCTCGTGATAACGCTGCTTGCTTGTTTCCGGTCCTGTGGTCTGTTTTCGCACATGGACAGACTCGGAAATCCGAAAGAAATCAGAGTAAGAGAATCTTATTCCTAAACTAAAAACCAGCTCTGTGACAGTTTCGGTAGTGATTAGTTCATTTTGAGCTTTGAACTTTGAACAGCTGTACACACATGAAATCGTTATAGTTTTCATTGAAACACAAAAAGTTTGCTTAATTGCAGAAAATTTGTGTTTCGGTGGGGACAATTACTAAAGTTACACACTGACTTTTTCAGACTTTGGTACACATTTATTTCGAAACAATAGGATCCAACTGCTCACCTCATGTGGAACAAGGATGCAGTCTCACTTCCTGCTCTAAAATGCAGGGGTGAGGCTAAAATAAGGCCCCGCCTACATGCTTTTTTTAGTTTCAATACTGGCATGAAAAAGCAGGACACATCATTGATTTATGTTGATTCATTTAATTTCCTAAAGGTTGGACACCTAAACCTCAAAAGGAAGGCCGTGCTGATGAACTCTGTAGCGGAACAACACTGTTTTTTTCCAAGTCTCAGTGATGAGGCAAACATCTAAATCTTCCTTTTTTTCTTTCTTTTACAGCACTTCAATGAGGAGTGTATGTACAGAGATTGAGAATCCCATGGATAGACAGCTCACTGAAATCTGATATTGCTAGGTGGTCTTGTTCAGACAGTCAACCACTGTGTAATCAAGGAGATCAGTATCTCTGAGGTTTGTAGCTTGATGCTAAAAATCACACAGCAGCTTAGAATTGTGAGCTTTAGTGGAAGGATTCTCCAAACATTGCTTGTTTAGTATCAAAGCTTCTTGTTTATCTCTGTATTTGCCTCTGCAGAAACATGGAGTTTGCATCACTGTTGATAACTGAGATACATACCCATTTTTTGGTAACCTTTTTTTGAGTATTATCTTTCCATACAATCTTCTGAACCAATGAAATCACAAAATACACATGCACACAGAGTTGTAGTCAACAGCAACAACAAAAAAACTGGCATGATAAGCAGCAGCTTTAGCCAAGCAGCTAACCTAGTAGCTAACTTTGCTATCTTTTATGTCTGTAAACATTACCTGTCTAAATTTTACCTGTACAAACATTACAGTAGTCACAGGTATTTATAGATCAGTTTCTCATTTGCTACAACAGTAGTCAGTAACAGTAACAAGAAGTGCATTTACATGCACGTAATAATCTGATAACTGCAGAAAATCAGATTTGGTCAGTAATCAGATAATTGGGAAACTCTGGGTCTACATGAGTCAGGCAGTAATCGGATTTCTGCTTTGCAACTGGCCAATAAATTCACAGAAGAAGACGTGACATAAACGTAATGTAAAACTTCATGCCAAATTTTTTTTAAAAACATTGCGCCACTTCAAAATTATAAACATGCATCATCCAGAAGATGAAAAAATATTTAAATCCTTCATTCGTCAAACAATGTAGTTGATTTCATCGTCACTCCAAAAGTGTTTCGCTGTCATCTCGCGGCAACGCTGCTTGCTTATTTCTGGTGCTGTGGTCTGCTTTCGCACATGTGCAGACTGAGAAATCCGAAAGAAATCAGAGTAAGAGTTCACATGCACTGAGAAATCTGATCACTGAGCTAAAATCCAGCTCTCTTCATTGGATTTCTAGGCTTTTCTCCAATCTAAGAAATTGCAGTGTGTCAGATAACTGCAGAAATCCTATTATGATTGGATTATTGAGTTCATGTAAACGCACTCATTGGCCTCTAACGGTCAGTAACAGTGGCTTTAACAGTAACACAGTAACATTGTTAGTAGTCAGTAACAGTGACTGGTTTTCATGGAACTATTTCTCATTTGTTTCTTTGATAGACGTCTAACAGTAGTTAGAAATACTGTCCAATGGTTTCTTTTCTTTATTCCATATTTAATATTGTATATTAATTGTAACTCTTATTCTTTAGCCATACATCTCTTGTTGTGTTTTTGTTTTGCTATTCGGCGTCGACCAGAAGAGGATGGGTTCTCTCTTTTGAGAGATTTCTTGCTCTTAGGGAGTTTTTCTTTGCCTCTGTTGTCCATGGCGATGCTCATTTGGGGGCTTAGACTCAGATTTTCTGTAAAGCTGCTCTTTAAGGCATACTCATACAGTTGTGAATGTGAAAGTTGGTCATGTTACACACTTTATGGACGTCCTAAATGAAAAGCTTAACACCCCTTCTGCACAGGGACAGAGCCAGAGTGTATATGATGGGGTGGCAATGTTAGACCCGGTGACTTTAGTGGTGTGGCAAACTACTTGGATTAAAAACGAAGTAAAACAGCAGTTAATAATATTCTTTTGTGCTTCTATCAGGCCTATGAAATTGTTTTTCCTGTGATTCAGTGAAAAACGTTGTTTTGTTCTTTAGTATCATTTCTACTGTTGATCACCGTGTCATTGGTTAAAATCGTCATTCACAGAATGTTCTATAACTACAGAAAATACACTACTACATTAATGTAGACATTTATTTAGGGGCTTTCACTGTGTTTCCCTAATGTAGAAGTCCAATGTTAGCTGCTTCTTTAAGCAAAATGAGATGGTTAATATGAAGGTTTTGAGCAGCGTTTACTCATCTGTTTGATGAGTCCAGCATTATCCGCCTCTTATAACTTATCAGTAACTGCTCTGATGGCAGATTTTCAGGGAAGTGTAAACACAAAGTAAGTATAGAAGAACACTTTTCTACTTTATTGACGATGGCTGACTGTCTTTCTAGGGTGGCCAGAAAGATGGCCATGCATCATGCTAGGTGGTCACCCCTGGTCACCCCTTGGCTATGTCTCTGTCTCTGCATAGTTATTATTTCTTTGCTAAACTTAAAATTTTGGGGAAAAAAGTCACCTGTTTTATCTCATCAAAGTTGCATGACCATTTTTAACCCTGCTGCGTCCCTTTGAATTGAACAGGCCATTTTTGTTACTCATATGTACAAATGATATTTGTTCTGCTGCTGGGTTGCATTAGTAGACATATATAATTGTTGGGTTTCATGACATCAAGAAAACAACATGTCCTTAGTTTCCATACACAGTCCACATGATCATGAGCATGAAGGGTATGCTTTGAAACTTGGACATGCTACATCAAACTTTTATTTTATAAAAAAGTGAGAAAATTAGGTTTACATGCATTTTAGTGGTCCAGTGTCATGAGGTGTCATGAAGGGGTGGGCAATATGACAATATTAATTGCCATTGACATAAATTATGTAACATCTCGATATGGTTTTCTGAGCATATCATGGATATAGTTCTGTGTAACTGGATGTAGTGCAAAACAACGTGAAGCATTGAATAAAAGACATTGTATTCATAGTTTCTGCCAATTTTTTTATATTTTATATATTTTTTGTCTCATCCAGCTTATCAAACCTCAGAAAAATGGAATATAGTGATGTGTATCGAAGTATTTGTGAACAAAGGTGACTCTCTTCTTTCTACAAATGTTTGGCTTTATTGCATTACGTTCGTTCATTGCATTGTTGAAGTGACATTACCAAAATGGCGATAATACAAGAATCTATTGCAGGTTCTTCGAGACAAATGATAATGCGCTCATCTTCCATGAAGCAAAAGGGCACCAGATCACCTCTAAAGCAGCTGCCTCTGGTCAAGATGTAACCTTAAAGGCAAGCTGCTTCATAGTGCTGGTAGTCTTATTGTTCTTACTGTTTACAGCACAATTACTCCTTTACTAAGGCGCTGTGTATTGGGGGTGTGGTTCGAGTTTTCAGAGTTCATCTTGGAAGGCGAGGTCCAGGTTAACCCACGGTGAAGGGCAGAGTGCATTCTGGATCTGAGCAGCTAGAAAACAGAAGTTCAAATGGACTGCTTTAGCCCAGACTTGCTCAGCTCCTCGTAGGTGCTTCAGGTGAGATAGTAAAGGGCTCCAGCATGGTTGACTGAGGACCAGAGTTGGAAAGGGTGAGACATTAATGAGCTGGGACTTAATGGCTCTCCTGGGTGTAAACTATGTGATACAGCTGATCCTGGACGATGCCAAAATAGGTGCGCACAGCCTGGGTTGTCTCATCAAGCAGGCTCCTGAAAGGAGGAGAAACTTTATGAAGCAGACATATTGCTATATACTGAAATCAGAGTTTTTCGTGCACCATCATACATCTTTATGTATTAGCATCACACACACAGGCTCTTAAAGAAGGTTGGGCTCGATGTTTGGGTCTCAAATGTGAAATGAGCATTATACTGATGAAGATAAGATGACAATAGTAGACACATCCTTAGAAGCACATACTTCACCAAGTTCTCTTTGTATACTCTTTTAACATGATTCATCCCCTCGGGAAAGGGGCCCGAGGCACAACCGTCATTCCAGTGTGCTTCTACACATTATGTGCAATTACACATTTCCACCAGAGAGGTCTCCAAATTCCCAAATCTTACATAGTGCAGCTTTAAGAAATAGTACTGAAATTCCCTACTTGAGTCATTCCATGTCAAAACATATATTGCTGCTGCCAGAACAAAACCTCCTATCTCCATTGTTTTTCAGTTTTTGACGTAATTTGAAAATACACATTGTCCTTTACATTGTCTGTAAATTTTATGATGAATGGACCCAAAGAAACGGCCCAAAATTACTTGGAAATACGTCTGGTTCCATTGACTTACATTAAAAGTAAAGTATTTTTTCCTTCTCCTGTAAAGTTACATTTTGGAGATATGAGGTTTTGTTCCGACAACAGCGGTAGGTTAATTTTAATCAGGTTTTTTTTGTTCTTAAAAAAGATGGTCCTTCAAGTGTTCTTTAAAGGCAGTAGTTCTATTTAGAGCCATGAGTTTTCTATAGAACCATTGGCATGCATAAATGGTTCTTTGCATGGTGAAATGGTTCTTCAGATTGATGGAGAATGTGTTGTATGTGGTTCTAGATAGCACCAAAAAGCATTCTTCTATTTTTACACCAGAACCAGAAGCCCGACTTCTGAACACTTCTGAACATTTTTGTAAGGGTCCCTTTTTCCTTTGATTCTGTATTGGCCCCTGGTAGAAAAACTAGCACAGACCAGCATGACTGGTCACCAGCAAAACCAGCATATTGCAGTGGCCAGCTTGTCCATGGTCAGTAGTGGGTTGCTACAATATGTTGTGTTTTGGATGCTGGTATGCTGGTCAGCAGCAATAAAAGTTAATATGCAGGTCACCAGCCAAACCAGCGTAGGTGCTGGGTGACCAGCTAAACCAGCAACAGACCAGTAGAAACCAGCTTAGACCAGCATGGAATGCATGCTGATCTGTGCTGTATTTAAGCTGGGGTTGTAAAAGCTAGGTTGCTAAATTGAATAATTTAGCAGAGAAAAGCTAAAGCAAAAGTTTTTAAAAAGCGCCTGAAGTGCTGCAGCAAGAGTAGCAGTAGTTTGTTACTTTCCACAAGCTGAGGTAAATCTGCACTCACTTGGCTTTCTCTTCCAGCTTGAGTTCCTTGATGTTCTCTATGTATCCACTGGCAGTATTCAGGCCCTGGTCATAATAGGACTTCAGGGTGTCAAGCACAGTGGCAACCGTTCCCTTTTCCTCGTCCTCGCCCTCGCCCTCGACCTGTCTGGGCACACGGAAGCTCTCCGCTCCTGCAATGACAAAGCACAGGTTTAAGTTATAAGCAATAGGCCTCTCAAGGCTTCTCCCGTCCCTAATCTGATATCATCTTTTAATTTAATTGTTTGTACCCAGATTGCAAGCGTTTTTGGGTTCTCTGGCTTGATAAGGTCAGCACCCTGCTGTCTATATGCCACTGCTTGTCCACCTTCTGACCACCCAGATTAATGTCCTACATTCATGGACTAACCAGGTTTTAACTTTCCTAAACCAATTTTACAGACATAGAATATTTGGTAACACTTTACTTGAAGGGTGTCTTCGTAACACATTCATAACATCTTACATAAACACTTCATAACATGTTCATGAATGTTTAAAGCAACATTTATAAAGCATGTATGTTTTACATTACATTAATATTGACTACTATGCTATCAAAATAAAAGTCCTATTTTTTAAAGTCAAAAACTACATTATTTTCAGTGTAATGCTTCGTTTCTGGACAGCCAGAAAGATGACCTTGCTTTACCTCTTTGGTCATTAAGTGCTTTGCACATTTCGCCTCTACTTTCAACTTGTTTTTAATCATTTGTTTTTTCGTAAACATTTGTATTTCGCACTTAATTATTCTTTCTCCTTTTTACGTTGTGTCTTCTTTAAAATTTTAGAGTACCAAACATTAATGCAACAGTTTATACATTTTTGAGGAAAATTTTATTTATCCTAAATTGAAATCTTTTGGGGTTAAATGCTAGCACTGTTATCTTTATACTTTAGAGGTTTTATTTTTAGTGATGTTCTATGTCACTCAAGTATAATTATGCATTGGTTATGCATTTAATTGACACTGTTTGGGGCTAAAAGTTGCACTGTTATCCCAAAGACTCATAAATTCCGTTTTGCCTTTATCTCAAAAGTGATGGAAGCCATGTTAACCACACTGAAATGCATGTTATGTGGATCTTTAAATCGAAATGCAAAGTAGTCTACGTACATTATTGTGGCTATCCAGGATCCACAGCAAATGGATGAGTATTATGATCCCACCACCATGCTATGATTTAGTCATATTATTGTTTATAGCATATTTTTGAGTAATTTACTGTCCATATAGTAAACTGACATGCAAAGCAACAAATGCTTGAGAAAAAAAATAATGAAACAGAGGTTGAAAGTAGTCAAAGCGCTTAATGACCAAAGGGGTCATTTTCACTGAAAGGTCTTTTACTAAAATTAATGTAGTTTTTCAAAATAAAAAATGAGGACCATTATTTTGAAAAAATATCTCTCTGTAAAATGACATAGTCCACATTAATATCATGTAAAACTTTATGTATTTATGCTTTATGTATGCTTCACCAGAAAACACTGAGTTTTGGGCTGCCAGCTTTGCCATCAGTGGGCCAGCAGTGGCCTGCTAGCTTCTTGCTCTCTGAATCTACAAATCAAATCCTTGAAAACAGAGCATAATGGGGCTGATTTGTTGTGTTTTTGTCAACACACTGCTTTGGCGTTTGAATTTTTGTTGTGTGATCCTTGAGGCTCTTTAAAATGATTTTGGATTGTTATTTGCCTGACAGCTAGTTTTTTAGTGTGTGAGGTCATACCCAGGGCGAGGACTGCGATGAGGACAGTGATGGTGATCAGTTTGTGCATGATGGCTGCTGGATCTGAGGTAGAACAGAGAAGATGAGATTAGAAGAGGTTCGCAAACCAAACACAAGGTGGCATCAGCAGTTCGCTCTTAACTTTGAGTGCCACTAATAGTAGTTCAGCTCAAATCTCTGGCCAGTATTTGCTATATCACCTAAAAACATCCTTAAATCAGCCCAGAGTATTCCGTTTAGCATTAGCATTTAGCATATGCTTGGCATGGTCAAATCCATAGATTTGTTCCTAGAACTTGAAGAGCTGGAAAAATATCTATTCAGTCACTAAACCTGATTTGTTCAAATTAAAAATAATTATTAGTTGCTTGTTCACAGTTTTGTTAGCTTTTATTCATATGGTTAGCAAAACGTGCTATATATAGCAGATTAGCCCAATATATATGTTCTGAATCCAGTTATATCATATGAATAGACGGCATTGATGCAATAACAGGGCTGATATCAGCAGACATTTTGGATTGGATATAGATAGAAATAAAAAGAAGTGAATACTGTAACAAATCTAACCTGAAATAGCACAATAACATTGTGTAATGTCACTGAGTGTTTGAGTGTTTTGAACATGATAGACTACTTTTAGATGCGCATCTTAGAGGGGAACCGATTTTTTTAAAACGTCTGCATACTTAAGTGGTTTAGATGTAAACAAAGCCATTCAGGATGGATTGGTGTGAAACGCTCTGTTCTAGAGAAACTTATAGTGGTGGTGATAGGAACCAGACATCTGAGGCCTCTAAAAGCTCCTTCACAGAAAGTTATTGCATGAAGTGGTTATGAATACACTGTCTGATGTTGAAGACATTGTTTTACAGTAGTTTTGTGATAACATTTTGGTCTAAAATGCATTTCAATCCATTTATGTTCATCAGTTCACTGAGGACCGATACACAAAGAGCAAACAGTCCCCAAACAAAGCTTATTTCCCACCAATTGCTTCAATTAAAAGTTGTTCATTTTAAGTCGTGTGTATTAGAAAAAAAAAAATTGGCTTTTTCATATCGGTATGTATTGTTATGTATATCGGTATTAGAAAAGAAAAAGCGGTATCATAGCATCTCTAAACATTACATTGTGTAATAGAATCATAAACTTTAGTGAATCTTAAGCTACTTCCAAGATGCTAAACTCATCAAGACTGAACAGGCTGACTTAAGATTACATCCGATAAATGTTTGCCTAGTCTGTGCCAGGATTGAGGAAAAAAAAAGCATGAAGGCGGCTGTACTCACTGTCTCTCCTCGGTGGAAAGTGTGTCAGGTCGGCTAGCAGGTGAACTGCCTTTGGCCTATCTTATATATATGAGCCCACATGTGTTGCTCTGACCGTCCAGATGCCAAAGTGCAATGCTCGGAGATAATTGGGGGTTAGTGTGTGTGTGTGTGAGAGAGAGAGACACAAAGAGAGCCGTGGCTGGGAGTGAATGCGAGATAATGTATCTCGGTTTCCTGAAAATTGACCATTTTTCAGATTTGGGACGACTTAATCACATTCAAGCTGATTGCTTCTTTTGTTAGCTTTGATCACCACAGTTGAATAAAATAGACAGTAGCCTTTCATGATGACTGATGATCTGGCTCTTAAAGACTGGCAAAATCCAATCCACTGTCATGTTAATGTATGTTAAGATATGGTAATAACTTCTCCTATCGTTGCGTTCCACCCACCTGGCCCTGTCTTGATAGATGAGTACACATGGACTGTTTTTCTCTTGCGCAAGCAGGCTGCTATCACATTTGAAGTCCTAAGTCTATTTTGCCATAGACACGTCAGCCTGTTGATTCCAGCTTATCTGCACTCACCGTGTATTTAGCTCTTTGTGAAGACCAGGAATTTTGATGTTTTGGGGACATTTGGCAGCTCCCCATGAAAAAGGACACAGTGTTTATTTGGAAAGAGGAGCTTTTGGTGCCTGAGGTTTAGGTTAGGGTTGGGTTAGGTGTAGCGCGGTGAAGTCAGTGGAAATTCCCCTCAGATATAGGAATACAAACCCATGCTTTGTTTCGGTGTTTTTAGAGATATGAGGTCCCCGCAATGCCAAAAATCCTTACAGTGTGTTTGTTCTGACTATAGAGGCCTACAAACTAGCATACATGGTAACTGAATCAATGTTTAATTGTACTTGTCGCTGTAGACTTTGGATGTTCTTTTGCGGCTAAAGTGAAAACAGCCAAGACCTTTGGTTAAAATTTGCTTCTTTAGCTTAGCTATGAGGCTAGCATGGCTAAGAAGTAATGGTAGCCGATAGCATTATGCTAAAGCGTGTAATTCCTCACTCCTCAAGGGAAATCTGAGTTCAAGATTACATGTCGTATCAACATGGCTGCTCCACAGATATACGTACTTAGATGCCGCGTTGTCTGTTGTTCTCTATCTGAGGTGAGATGTCTGCACGTCCGCCATGTTGGAGCGGTCAAGATCCACTTGAGATCAAAATCACTTGTATTGAGAGATGAAGAGTCTCAGGATTAAATCGGCCACAACTTCCTTAATATTCAACTGATTTATACCTAATTTTTTTGGTTTTAATCCTCAGACATCGACTACTCTACGTTGCACTGACTGCTCTCAGTAGCTTTTATTTCTTTAATAACTGATCGTGCTAATTAGCCATCCAGACCAGCAGAAAAGTTTTCAGTCTGCACCTGATGTTAAAAACCGAGTTTAGCGCTCCAGTAGAAACACAATCTCACACACATCAGCAAATCCATCAATGTGTGAATCACTTCTAAGCTTAATACACATAAAAATAAAATAAACCCCCCAAAACACAGTAAGAAGGACGAAGCTAAAGTTGGCTTCCTATTCGCCAGCTTCTTGTTCATGTTTTCCCGTTCCACCTTAAATGGTGCAGCAGTCACTTTCTGGTATCTGAAGCCAAACCATTCGCACAAGAAGCTGGCAAATAAGAATCTGACTTCAGGATCATGTAAGAAGGTCCGGCCTTAATCTATTATGAATATCTACACAGATTAAGGAATGCTATAACTTACCCAGCTACAAAGCTTTAACCATCATTGTAAATAAATAACTACTACATAAGGTTAGGATCCCCTGAACAGACTATTAAATGAAATAAGCTTAATATAAAACTAGAGGAAAAACAGTCACATCAACAGGTTCTCTGTGCCTCATTAACCACACGGCCATATCTGCACATAAACATCACACAAACAATACACATCACACAAACATGAGTGTGGATCGCTGCGTTTCCTCCGTTTTTAATCCTATCCAGCTTTCTGAGTGCAATATTCTTGAAATAGTATAAATTTGGACAGTATCTTTCTTAAACTGCCGCTCTGTATTGGTACTGAATGCAGTCCAGCAGCGATGTTGACCGGCACAAAATGGCAGCGCCATTGACGTGCCTGGCTGGACCCGACGCGGCAACTAGATATGTATATCTATGGGCTGCTCACACAACAGTGCTTCTTTGCTTTTAAATGATTTTACAGTAGCATTTGCTTTAGACCACTCAACATTCTCACAGAGTAGTTAGTTAAATCTATTACTTTGACAAGGATTGTTGTCCTTTAACAAGATTTGCTTTTTTGAGATGGTAAATACTTCATATATTCTAACATTGTCAGTCATATCACTAAGATTAGCTGGCTAGCTTTTGCGAACAGCACTTGGACTCCCCACTTTCGAATTTAACGCAGCATATAGTCATCATACACTGTCCCTAAACCGTGTTGAGTTGTTAAGTAATTTCAAAAAGTGGTTTCTGACACTGTTTGACATACTGTCATTTATCAAATGGATGCTACATAGCTAAAAACATTACAGGCTAGCTGCTATTTTGAGGCTTGAATTCTGTCTCTAATTTTATTCATTTGTACAGATAACATTGTCATACAGTTTTAGAAACCAAAAAAAAGAGAACTTAACAGATTACTTAACAACTTGACAGTTTTTGAGGTGAGTAGAACTTAGCCTTAGTTTGAATGATGCTACCAGGTGGCTAAAACTAGGCTTCCATTGCATATTAGCTACATTAGCCTCAAGCTCCAGTGCATGACAAATGAAACATGTCTTTGCTGATCAGCTACACTTAGAAAACGAGCAGGTACTATTTGGGTGGTGGATCATTCTCAGCACTGCAGTAACACTGGCGTGGTGGTGGTGTGTTAGTGTGTGTTGCGATGGTGCAAGTGGATCAGACACAGCAGTGCTGCTGGTGTTTTTAAACACTGTGTCCACTCACTGTCCACTCTAGTAGACATCTTTGGCACCTTGTAGATGTAAAGTCAGAGACGGTAGCTCATCTGTTGATGCACAGTCTGTATTTTTGGGGTCCTTACCATTGAAGAACAGGGTAAAAGGGGGCTAACAAAGTATGCAGAGAAACAGATGGACTACAGTCTGTAATTGTAGAACTACAAAGTGCACCTAGGTGGTAAGTGGAGCTGATGAAATGGACATAAGTGTAGATACAAGAAGATGTACTTAATGAAGTTGTCAGTCGGTGTATATTACAGCAAAGAACCTTTTATAAAATGACAGTCAACATAAAACATGATACAATACACAATTTCTCAGAAAATAATTTATAATATAATATATTATAAATATAAATATTATATAATAATATAATAAATTATTATTAATAATAATCAATATAAACAAGTATTCCACCCAAAAATGTAGGTCCTTTAGAGTACAGTATCATTGCCGAGCAACCATGGACTGCTGAATTAGAAGAAGAATGTTCTGTCGTTCCTCACTATATATTGCGGGCACTTCATGAACCTTTTAACTTTTTGTTGTATTATAATAAACATGCTCTGTGATGGACTGGCGGCCTGTCCACGGTGTTTCCCGCCTTTCGTCCAATGGGTGCTGGGTTAGGCTCCAGCAACCCCTGCAACCCCGGAGCGGGGCTTAGATGATGAATAAATGAATAAATAATAAACATATGATAACAACGTTTAATGCAAAAACCTTAATTTATAGGTACTTTTTGAGTCTTATATAGCAGCGCCCCTCCTACCACACTGTGGCTGAATCTCAAATGGCTCCCTGCTCCCTACATAGTGTGCTACGTAAGAATTTTAACACCGGCTCCTGCACTCCAACAGTGCTTAATATGGCAAATAATTAGTCGTTTAGAATTTAACCATATCCATACTCGACAAATAGTCGACTCTTTGGCTCCGGAAGCATCTCAAAGGAATAGGGAGATGTCAGTGACATGGCCTACAGCCTTGATGCAAGAAATGCTTGTCCAAATAGTTAGGCTTACTTCAAATTGCTGATGTGCACTTTTGTCACCACTTGAGTAGGTCCAGATGAGCCTAAGCCAGTAATTGCCACCTGTGGATCAGCTTATTTTGATGACTTTTTTTTCCAGGGAGGGATCATGGTCTTGAGAGGCCATGATATATACACAGCCCTACGCAAAATTCTGGTACCCCTGGTTGTTGATTTTTTAAAGAAAATAAGCTAACAAATCCTCGACAGAGTTGCTGAATGTGACGTTTGGGAGAAAAAAGAACACAAATTTAAAATGTGGCCTGTAAAATTCAGAAATATTTCATATGTAATGTAAAATATTTTTTTCCAACATATGAAAATCAGCAAACAAATTACAACTGTGCACTAAAATACCATAAACTTTCACAAACGACTGTCTGTATGGAAAAAAAAGATAAGACGATTGTATAATTCACCTTCGTGTTTATGTGCACTTTGTGGCACGTAAATTTGTTTTGTTCTTTGTTTTGAAATGAGACAAAATTGTCCTTATTGATATGCAATATTCTATTGTGCAGAATATTTTTAATCACAACTTTTTTTGTACACCTAAAGACTAAAACTACGACCACACACTCTCTAAAACATACCAGTTGAATGGTACGACAAATTCCTCTGCGTTATGATATTAAACTTGAGGGACCTGAGAACAGATAACAGGTCTTCATTTATTTGATCTGTGGACATTTGTGGTCGGAGGCCCCTGGCAGTCGGAGGCCCCTGGCTATCAGAGACCATCCCTGTGCTGCCTGATGATTTTTTCCCTAAAGCTGTGGGCATTTTTGAAACTAGCTGAATTGCATGTAAGCTGAAGTAAACTGTAAAAGAGGCCTGTCACAAAAATAGGAACAAGTCAAATAAGGTCTCTTTCTCTACAAATCTACATTAACAGCCAGGATGTAGTGGAGGGTAAATGCATGGAAACACAGTAATAATATACAAATATAAAATAATCTATATCTAGAGAGACTGGACTGTCTATCGTATGAGCCACTGACCTCTCAATCACTTTGTAGCTTCAGAATTAACACTTTTCTGTGACAGTAAAGAAAATGATGTTTATAGGTTTTGACTCGAAAGACATTTAATCATGCAAAGGGTTCTTTGACAGTTTATGGTTCTGTATAGAACTTTTTTCTTTACTAAAGAACCACTGAAGAACCATCTTTTTTAAAAGTGAAAAGGGACAGAGGGAGACAAAATAATGTAGTAA